ACATAACTCATCATACCTTTTTTTCTTTTTTTTACTTATCAAAAGATAAATATTTATTTTTACAATAAAATTATTTATCACATTATTATCCTCATTGTATTTTATTTATTAAATTTAAAAAATTGTATTTTCAGTTTTGAAAAAAAAAAATTTTTATATATGTGTATAACTTTAGATTCGGATTCCAAAAAAAAAAATTTAATTTAATATCACAATTTTTTTTTTTTTTTTCAATCAATTTTTCAAAGTCTGATTGATGTATATAAAAAAAAAAAAAAATTAAAACTTTCCATTGGAAGCTTTATAAATTTTAGGACAATAATTTAGAGCATAGTAAAAAAAAGGAATATCCAAATTGTTTTTTAAAATAAATTTCGATGACATTTTATTCCAATAATGTATTGTATAACTATGATTTGATATTTTTCTTGCGAGATCCGTATTACCTTCTTGGAAAAAAAATTCAGGGTCGTTATATGAAAAAGGTGCAAAATATTCCGTTGGATAAATTGAAAAACCTTGACAATCACTTTCAGGCATTCTGAGTACATCATCCGTCATGCATTTTCTTTTTAAAACTCTTGTAATTACTCCAGGTCCATTGTGTCCCCAAAAATACCCGATAAATGTGCTGAAACAAATTTTATCATGACTTTTATTAGATTTTTTTAAACAATAATTAGTTGGAAAATTAATTGAATAAAAATATTTACCTTGCTAACTCTTCGACGCATTCTTTAGCCGTACTTCGTCCCACTTCATCGTAACTAAATCCTAATATTCCTGAACCTAAAGATGAATTCGATTCTGCTCCTGACGGTTTAAAAGTTTAAAAAAAAAATTTATTACGTAAGGATTTAGAAAAAATTATTTATTTATTGATTACCTGCAAAATTTTTCAGTCCACTTAACGATTTTAAAACTATAACATCTAAATCTAAATAAATTCCACCGAATTTATATAAGGTAGCATAACGAAGAACATCGCTGGAATGTGCCACTGGCCAATAACTATTATTTAAAGCTCCTGAGGTATATATTACATGTAATGGAGTATTTGATAAATACCTGAAATAAAAATAATAACTGATTGTAATAACTAAGTTATCATTTCTATTAATTAATTTGTTAACCTTTTTTTTTTTTTTTTAAATAATATTTAAATATTTAATTTTACTTACTCGGAAAAATTAATATGTCTCACTTTAAAATTTTTATATGAAAGTAATTGATGTATTAATTTGTTGTTAGTATTTTTTAAAGGTGTTAAAACTGGACTAGTAATTAAAAGAAAAACATCTAAAATAAAATTATTATTATTATTATGTTAGTTTATTAAAAATTAATTTTTTTATTTGTTTTCAGATAAAAATTAATGTAAATTTATTCGAATATTAAAAAAAAAAAAAAAAATTAAGAAAGATTTTTTAAGATATTTAAAACGCCCCAGTTTTTTTTTATATGAGTCGTATCATTTTGCATTTTATTATTATTATTATTTCTTATACAAAAAGCTCAAGGTTATTCTAAACAATCAAACAGTAAATAAAAAGTCAAATTAATTTTTTTTAAGGTTTTCATTGCATGATAAAAAAAAAAAAAAAAAAATTTTTTTTTGTTTACCTTTTTCAGGATGAGCTCTTAAAGCAGATTCTACAGAACAAGCTTGTCTCGAATTAATAACAATATCCGTTAAATTTTTCGGGCAAGAAGTTTCATGAAAATAAATCCCTTTTCCCAATACGGGTTCATTTTCATTTAAAGTTATTAATTTGTTTCCGGTTAAATAAAAACAATCGATATTTTTCCGAGTTTTTCCTTTCCAATGAATTATATAACCGCTCCACGGTACGTTAAGAAATATCACAAATAATATAAAAAATAATAATAGTAATATTTTTTTGTGTAATATTCTCCATTTGCATTTGTATATATTAATTAAATTTTTATTTTTCATTTCATTATTTATTGTACCTGAAATTTAAAATTTTCATTTTAATAATTTTAATTTAATTAAATTAAGACAAGTTTTAGCAAAAAATTTTTAACCTCCTTTTATTTGATTTGCTTTATATTACAAAAATTAAAAATTTTAAAGGATTTGTTGACACAAAAACTAATTTTTAAATTAAATTTAAGAATGTCTGACTAATAATTATGGTTGTTTTCTTATACAATCATGTGAGTAAGAAATTTTATGTCTTTTATATCAACAAAGGTAAAAAAATAATAATTTGAATTTTTTTTTTTGTATTCATAAGAGTGATCCATGTGTAATTTATTTTTTTTTATAAAAATTTAAATTAAATGTTAATTTTTTTGCATTAAAAATATTTTAGAGTGTCTTTATGTACAATTTTTTTTAGTTTTTACACAAAAAACAAATTTTTTTTTGTATGTTTAAATGAATGTTCATTTTTAGTGTAATTATCCTAAGGGACATAACAAAATAATAACGAATATTGATTTTTTTTTTACTTTTGAAATTGATTTTGCGCATGAACGTTTAGCTCATATTAAAATCCTAAAGGTAGTTAGCATAAAGTTGTTTTTTCGATAAGATAATTAATGTATTTTTTTAAAAGTAATATTAGGTAAAAATAATAATTTCAATAGCAATTTTAAAGATTTTTAATTGTCTTATATCCTATCCAATTAAGTTATAACAACGTATGAGTAAAATTTCAAATTTTCTTTTCTTTTTTTTCTGACTTTAATTATTTTGTAGTTCATTTTCATGTAAACGTTAAATTGTTTTTTTTTTTAATTTTAACGTTTACTTTATTAATTTGAAATATTTTTGTATTTATAATGTAAATTAGTAACAATTAAGCAGTACGCCGTTATAAAACTTAAATGTCAAAAATAAAAACTTATTAAATTAAAAAATGATAATACTTACGAAATTTTTAAATTAAATTGAATTAAATTTTTTCATTTGTAAAACTTTTAAAAATATTTTCTATTTAAACTCGTAATTTTTAATTTCTTATCTTGGACATTTCACCGAGTAAATTATAAAAAGTAACAGGAACATTTTTAGAATGACAATGTTCTATGTACGTCTTTATGGTGCTGCTTTTATTCTTTCCGTGAAAATAGAGGGAAAATTTAATCTGCTGCCACTTCTTCATTAAACTTACTGTTTGGTTATTTAAGAATGGAAGGTTTTTTAAAAACCGGTAAATTAGGGAATAATTCTAATATTTCCTCTATTTCTAAAACAGATTCATTAAAAGGAAAAGAAGAAAATTATTCAAATATACCATGGGTTGAAAAATAGTAAGTATAAATTTATTTTTGTGAATGCTTGTCTAGTTATTAAATTTATATTAATTTTTACAAATTATTTTAGTCGTCCCAAAACTGTAGATGACATTGTTGAACAGGTGGAAGTTGTGTCCGTTTTACGTCAAACTCTTAAAGGAGCAGATTTGCCCAATTTACTTTTCTATGGACCTCCTGGGACTGGTAAGACATCTACTATTCTTGCTGCAGCACGACAGTTATTTGGAGATATGTTTAAAGAAAGAATATTAGAATTAAATGCTTCTGATGATAGAGGAATTCAAGTGATAAGAGACAAAGTCAAAACTTTTGCTCAATTATCTGCTAGTTCTACTCGTCCCGAGTTAGTATTTCAGATAATTTTATATACTTTTTTTTTATTTTTCTAATAATTTAATTTTTTTTTCAGCGGTCAACCATGTCCTCCCTTTAAAATAGTTTTATTGGATGAAGCTGATTCTATGACTTCAGCTGCTCAGGCAGCCTTAAGGAGAACAATGGAACTGTACACTAAAACTACCAGATTTTGCCTTGTGTGTAACTATGTCAGTAGAATTATTCCTCCAATTACATCAAGGTGTTCGAAATTCAGGTTCAAACCCTTAGGTATTTTGTTAGTTTACAAATGTTTTTTAAATTTATATCAATCTTATTACTATACAGTTCAATTAAAAATGTTCTAATTGGAAATTATTATTTACAGGAGAAAATAAAATTTTTGAAAGGCTCAGTAAAATTTCCAAAGCTGAAAAAGTCAACATAAATGATGATACTCTAATGACTTTGGTTAAGTGCACTGGTGGCGATTTAAGAAGAGCTATAACTTCTTTGCAATCTTGTGCTAGAATCAAAGAAGAAGGGGAACTCATTACAATTGAAGATGTCAATGAAGTTGCAGGGGTAAGTACTATTAAAATATTTTTGTGTTAAAGAATTAATTAAATCCTTACATAAATATTTTTTTAAAATCATTATAATTAAGAATCTTTTACTGTATCAGAACTAGAAAATCATACATTGTTGTTTTTGTCCTTAGGTGATACCTGACTCAGTAATTACAGAATTAATAAATACTTGTAACAAAAACAATTATACAACTATAGAAGATTTTGTAAATGAAGTTACATATCAAGCTTATTCTGTTGCACAGCTAATGGAACAACTTACAGAATATATCATTCAAGACTTCAAGTTGTCGGATAAAGCTAAGGCTACAATTTTTGATAAATTATCGGTAAGTAATTTATGTAAATTAAAAATAAATTTATTTATCAATTACTATGTATAATACTTTTTTTTTTGCAGTTATGTAGTAGTAGATTAATAGATGGAGCAAGTGAATATCTTCTTTTGATAGATCTTTGTTGCACCATTGCAAAAGCGTTACAGTTATCATAGAAATAAATATATTTTTTAAAAAAAGTTTGAAAATTTTTGCTATTCCTCAAAGCCTAGGTTGATATTACCTTTCTTAAGGAAATAAAAGTATCTAGAAAATACCAATTACTTGTGTAATATTATTTATTTTTCAAAAAATTATATAGTTACATTCATTAAAAATTTGATACAATTATTCCACGAATTGTTACATTTTGTTAATTTATTAAATAAATTGGTAACATATTTAAGAAAAAAATTTGTAATAATTATAAATCATATGCTTTAATACTGGTAGTAATTTTAATTTGAATTTAAATTAAAATTATTTCGATGTTTGTTAATAATTACAATTTTAACATAAGATGAACAAAAATAAAATTAAACAATAATTAGATAAATTTTTTTAAGTTGACAATAATGTGAAAAAAAAAAATCAAAAACTTCAAAGATTAGGAAACTATCAAAAAGTATAATTTATTTTATTTTGAAAAAAGTTTTCTAAATAAAACAAAATTTATTAAACATATATATTTTAAAAAATTTTTAAACGATTGTTATTGAATTTAAAAAATTTTTTTCTAATTCCACTTACTTTCGTGGCTGTAATTTATGTAATTACGTCATCTACTAAAAGTATAAACACAATATGAGAAGTTATTTTCATCATTACATAAATAATTATTAGAAATGGGTTTTTTAACACTTTTGAAAAAAATGAAACAAAAGGAAAAGGAAATGAGAATTCTCATGCTGTATCTTTTTTAATATATTTTATTATTTGTATATTTACACATATTTATAATTGCAGAATAATTTTAATATGTATTTTATAAGATAGTTTCATGTATTGGTTGATTTTTATTTCTTAACCAGTAATTTTTAGGGGATTAGACAATGCAGGAAAAACAACTATATTGAAGAGATTTAATGGTGAAGATATTAATTTAATTTCACCAACTCTTGGCTTTAATATCAAAACTCTTGAGCATCGAGGTTTTAAATTAAATATTTGGGATGTAGGAGGACAGAAATCATTGCGTTCTTACTGGAGAAACTATTTTGAATGCACAGATGGTTTAGTTTGGGTAATTGATAGTGCTGACAAGAGAAGATTAGAAGACTGTAAATCTGAATTACATCATCTATTAAATGAAGAAGTAATTGTTTATTTTAATTTATGTTTAATTAGTATTCGAGGGTTTGCTTTTTAGAAAATATTATAATATTATTTTTTTTCATAATTAGTCATTTAAAACTCTTCATTGCTTTATTTTAATGAAATCAGGTAATAGCTTTTTTAGTATTATTTCATTAATATTTATAAATTTTTTTATTTTTTTACAGAGGTTGGCTGGTGCTACATTATTAATATTCTGCAATAAACAAGATCTGCCTGGTGCTTTATCAAGTGAAAAAATAAAAAACATATTAGAATTAAATGAAATTAAAACACATCATTGGCAAATTTTACATTGTAGTGCCGTCACAGGTGTTAATTTATTGAAAGGAATGGATTGGCTTATCGATGATATTTTTGCTAGAATCTTTACTCTTGATTAATTTGAAATTAATTTTTTCTAAAAACAAATAATGGACTTGTTCTTTTTTTTTTTTTTTTTTTTTTTTTTTATAAATCTTAAAATTATCTTTTTTGCTTCTCAAAAAGTTTTTTGTAATTAATCTGTGATAAAATGACTCGACTAATAATTTATTGTTTTCCTTAATTAATATACTGTATTATTAACAAGAAAATACATAATAAAAATTTGTTTCATTACTTATTTTAATAAAAATGGTTTTTAAAAAAAAAAAATATCATATTAAAAATTAATTAAGAATTTACAATACAAAAACAGTAATTTTTTAAACATTTATAATTATTTTCGTTAATTAATGCCTAAAAAAAAAATTGTCAAAGAATTTGATTACTATTTGAAATTTTATTTAATTAACGTTCAAAATTAAATTTACATTAAAATTTGCTGAAATTTTTTTTTTTGTAGTTCATAATCGCAATTAAAAAATAACCCATATATTAAATAGAAATTGGATGCATTAGTGATTTTTCTTAAATTAAATAAAAAAACCAAACTTAAATAAATTCCTTATGTAGATTCAGAACCTGAATGCACTCTACGATGATTTTTAATTTAGTTTGAGAACGGTAAATTTTATTAATCACAAAATTTCTGAACGTACTCTACCAAACAAAATGCCGTGGCTTCGTGTATATTATATTTATTTATGTAATTTATTTATTTAACATTTGTGTTTAATTTTTTCTTTTTTTTAATATTATTTATAGTTATGTTAAGATGTAATATTATATATTATAATACTAGAAAATGGCTATGTCTCATCACGCAGATGCATTCAATATATCGGGTGAGTATTGAGTATAAATTGATATACATTTATTTCGAATTTAATTCCTAAATTAACTGTTACAACTAATAATTAGTTAAAAAAATTTTGATTGCAATTTCTTTAAAATTTTAAAAAGTGAATCTTTAATTATTTATTTATAAATTTACATTTAATAACCAGGTCATATTTTGGCAGTTGACTCATTCTCTGTACTACTTCCTCATAATTGTTTACAAATCAACTAAGATGTGAATCATTAATTTTTTCTTTAGTTTTCTTTTTTTACTTTAATTGTCTCTTTTCCCTAATTTATTCGTTTTTAATTTTTATATTTTTATTTATAAATAAGTTTAGTATTTTCATATTGTCGAAAAATAACCTTTTTCCCCTCAAAATTTAAATAATTGAGTGCCATGAGTTTAATCTAGGTAACCTAAAATTATTTTTATTTTGTTAAACCATTAAGTAATTGATTTTAAATTATTATTGTGTAATTAATTTTAAAAATTAATTGATTTTTAAAAAGTTTAACTAATGAAATGTTTTTTAATCTATACTTGTCCAAAACTAATTTTTAAAAAAAATTATTATCATTTCGAGTTTTCAGTTTTTAATAAAAATTTAAATTATCTTTTCAGATTTAACTCCAGAGCAACAGAAGTTATTAATCGACATTAGAAGAAGAAAACAAGAGCTATTATTGGAAATTCAGGTGAGTTTATTATTATATTACACTATACTATCTATAACTATCTATAACTATACTGTCTATTAACCTTAAACCCCAGATTGATTGGTCTGTAAGAGTAAATTTTTATCACAATATCGTAATGAACTTAGCCTATAGTTTTAAATTATTTACGGAATATTAGTTTAATTATTTTTTTAAAAAAATCATATTTATTTTTTTCTATAATATTAAATGAGTTAAACATATTTATTTTTTTCTATAATATTAAATGAGTTAATGATGATATTTTGGTCAAATTTGAGTTTTTAAAGAAATTTAGTATTTGCTAAAATGCAGATTATTTTAATTATATCTCGTGTTAATAATATTTTTATTTTAATAAGGCTTTAAATTAATTTTATCAATTTTAATTGGATAAGTAATTAAAATCATTTCGATTTTGAAAATATATCGTTAAGTAATTTTATAAATCATTTATCAATAATAATTATAAAGTTTGAGATATTTAATATTTAATATTTTTACTTTACTCGATTTATAATTTTAGTTATGACACAATCTATTCAAATTTTTCTAGTTTTTAAATTTTAAATTTTAAAATTTACCCACAATATGTAAGCAAATATGTAATATGATGATAACTACACATTTGTTAAAATAATTTCATTATTTATATGCAACAAGTTTTAAACTCTTCAGAACATTTATGGTTTTTTAATTTCTGAAAAAAAAAATTAATAATTTTTCAGTCGGACATTTTTACTTTCTTTGTGGCATTATGTATAAATTAAGCAATAAAAATGCTGAAAGGGTTAGTAATTGAACACAATACAACGAACAAAACGTGAATCATTCCTTTTCCTTCTTTTAAGTGATGAAAAAATTATTTTGAACTTTATTCTTTATATCAATTTTTTTTTTTTTTTTTTTTTGGTCTTAATATGACTGCACTTTAAAGTGCAGATATTATTTTTTTGTTCACCATTAACTATTGATTGAAAAATTGTTCATTATAAATTATAATCATTGTTATGGTTAATAAAAATAGAATGAGCTCTTTTGTTATTGATAAAAATATTAGAGTTTGTTTTTGTTAGTGGATTTTATATTGTTAATTTATTATTACGGTAAGAATTTTTTCCAGAAACAAAAAAAATTTGTTTAAACTATTCATTATTATTATCATTATTATTTTTAATTTATTTGAAATTAAAAAACGAATTCAATTCAATCATTCGAAGATTGTTTATATTATTATAAATTTTTAACTTAATTCTTTTTTAAGTTTTTGGAAAATTAAAATGCAACTTGAAATAATTATTTGAGGATCATAAAAAAATTAAATGAATAAAAAAAAAAAAGAAGGAATGAATATAAATTTGTTTTAAGACAAGTTTATTAATTTATGAATTACATAAACTTATAAAAAATTGAATTGATATGCGCAGTATGAGTATAATAACCTAATTTTCATGGCGGATTTTAAAAATAAATAAAAATTTTTTTTTTTTTTTTGTTTTAAACGCATAACTAATGACATTTTAACTTTCGTTGTGAAATCACACAAATCATATTTATTTTAATATATATTAATTTGATTTAATATATAGTTAATCAATAACTGAAAAGAACAATTATTATGGCAATAGTTTTATTTTGTAGAATTCATAGCAATTTAAATATGATTTATTTACTTGAAAATTAAATCTTCCAGATAAAATTTTAAAATAGCGTATTTGTAGAAAAAAAATAGAGACATTTAATTTAAAATTATTGATTTATATGCATATTTTTCATGGATGTTCAACTAGTTTTTTTTTAGTATTTACAAAAATAACCACTGTGATAAAAATTTTCCACGGGAAAAATAAAAAAATAAATTTTTACACACGAGATTTATAGGTAAATTATATTTTCATTTGATTTTAGAACAAAATGAAATTTAAAAAAAAAAAAAAAATTATTATTCGTTTAGTTACATAAAGTTATTATATATATTTCTCGTTAAAAAAAAAAAAAAAAAAAAGAAACAAGTTAACAGTGAATATTTGCTTTCGTGTAGCGTGATAGTATGTGTAGTTTTCTCGTTTGAAAGTTTTATTTTTTTATTTTTTTTTTTTTTTTTATTCAGTGTCTAAGCGGTGATCGTCGAGTCGAGTGTTGTGTCGAGTGTTTTAACACAGAATAAATGTTTCGGATTCAAGTTTTCGTTGATAAGTTATCGGATTTATTAAAAAATAATAATAATTTAAAATTACGAATTTTAGGTAATATATTAGGTGCGTTACCGTTTAAAATTTGTGGAAGTGTTTTTAAAAAAAAATAATAATAATAATCATTGCTTTTCTCTGAAATTAGTAGTGTTGTTTTATTTTTTGTTTCAAAAGCCACTGCACAACAAGCCGTTTAAAATTACGTACACGTCGTACTTTGAGATTTAAAAAAATTTTTTTTTTTTTATTTATAATTAATTATCAATGTGAAATAATAATTGGTTTTGATTAGATGCCCGTTCTCGTAGCGATAAAATATATATCTAAATTTTTTTTTTTATTATCAATGCGATACGTTAAAAATGCGGGAAATAAATTTTACTGGCACTTGTAGTAGTTAATATTTGTTTAAGTGATAATTAGATT